GCCTGGTGCCTGATGACAAAACAAGACTCTGTCTCAAAAAAAAAAAAAAAGTATAGCCGTATTTTCTAGACGCAAGTCTACGGGATTGTATTTGAATTAAAGAAAGACTTATTTCTCTCTGTATCTCCTTTCCCGAACCCCCAAGATTTAGCTCAATAAATCTATCTGTATTTAATGGAACTGAACTACCAGCATGTGAGGCAGAGCAATGACTCCTCCTGATTCTGCCTCTAATACAAATCTCTAATTCCTAGCCCCTGTTTATTGGTGCAGGAAGGAGTGGCAGTCAGGGTGAGGAGTAGGTTTGGCAGGAGCACTGATCAAACATAACCTCCCATTTCCTTGGTTCAACAAGCCTAACAATATCATAAACTGACCTGTGAAAAGAATAGTTCATTTTACTTATTTTTTAGCAACTTTCGACTTTTCCTTCCTATACCATGCCTTCATTTATATGAAAGTCACATTCTTCTAAAGCACGGGACCATAGCCTCTCTATCTTAACATCTTTCCACAGTTCTCATCAGTAAGTGAGTAAATACGTACTGAGTGTACCACTATTAAAGATAAATACATTAAGCAGTAAAGTTCAAAGAAAGAAAAAGAATCCCCCTATAAGTCCCCATTATATTCCATTTAAATGTTTTTAAAAACTCAAGAACAAAACAAACACTGGGAAGTTAAAAAAGTATTTCCCAGGCCATGGTAACCTAATAAATTAGGGACTGGACTGATTTTTATTTGAATTCTTTAATTAGTCACTTATAAAAACCTTATTTAGCTATACAGTTTCTAAGAATTACATATTCTCATGTATTCTAAAATTCATTTTTATAATTATGGGGAGAGGGGAGAGGGCCACAAATGGGATGGACAAAGCAAATGTGGGAGAACTTAACAACTGCTGAATCTACATTGATAATACACCACTATTCATTCTATTTTTTTTTCTAATTTGACATATGGGTTTGAAAATTTCTGAAATTTCAGGAGCTCGACATAGGCTTTCCACAGTAACCAGATTTAGAAGGTGAACAGGAAAATGACAGCAAACAAAAACACAAAAGTAGAAAGGGCTAAGAACAGTTCATCAATCTTTCCTTAACTAGAACTGTCCTGGGCAGAAGAACCTCTAGCCTAGTCAACTGTACAACTCTCTGAATATTATGTTGCTGTTTAGGCTTGCTGCCCATATTGTGTATAAAAATAAAACAATGAAACCCACAAAAGTTAAAGAACTTTTTTGTGATACTGGGGAAATCTGAATATAGACTGCATATTAGATAATATTATTGTATCAGTGATAATATTCTCATTTTTAGTAACAGTATTGTAGTTATGTAGGAGAATGCTCATGTTCTTAGGAGAGAAATGCTAAAATATCATGATATCTGTCATTTACTTTAAAATGATTTAGGGGAAGGTTGTGTGTATGTGTGAGTGTGTGTGCGCACGTGCATATACGTGTGCGTGTTTAGAGAAAAAAACTGAAATGTTAACAATCTGAGGATTTAGGTAAATGGTATATGGCAATTTATTAGATTATTCATACAGCTATTCTGTAAGTTTAACATTTTTCAAAATAAAAAGTTGGGGTAAAAGATTCAAAAAATAAAATTTATCTTAAATCGGTAATTCTTTACATGGAAATGTAAATTTTGAAGAATCATAGCGTGGTATGAACTATCGGGAAGGTTTTAGTGTATTAAAAATACTACATGGAAATGTATTTTTTATTCTTCTTTTTCTTTTTTCAACACAGCCTAGCAATTAATGGTTTGAGGCGGCCAAGGAATGATCAAAACCAAAACTAACCAATATAACTAAATCAAAATCTTTCAATATTATATCTGAAAGGCTCTTGGCAATCATTTATTCCAACCCCCTTTGAAATATGTTAAAAAATTTTGAGAATAAGAGGAATAAAGCAATTTGTCCGCGGTCAGACAAAAGCAATACTGGGACAAGAACTCAGGCTTCTTTTCGTCCTGTTTAGAGGTCTTTCCACTCTTCTACAAATTATTTTTTAAATACTCAATAGCTCCAAACCAGTAACTTTGCAAGCTAGTTGGCTTCTAAAGCTATTGTCTCACTTCTAATAAGCTGCATTTCTCTAGACTATGTAATAATGTTCAATTAATTAAATTTATATTCATACTGAAAAATTCAACAGAATTCAATAAAACACTATTATTTTTGCACAGAAAAACAAGTTTCAAAACAACAGACTAAATATCATCTTTCCACAGGAAGTAGGTAGCTTTGCTGATGCAGAGGAAAGGTGTGAGCAACTGATTAAAAACAAAATCCAACTTGAGGCCAAAATCAAAGAGGTGACTGAAAGCGCTGAGGAGGAGGAAGAGATCAATGCTGAGCTGAAAGCCAAGAAGAGGAAACTGGAGGATGAATGTTCAGAGCTCAAGAAGACATTCATGACCTTGAGCTGACATTGTCCAAGGTTGAGAAGGAGAAACATGCCACAGAGAACAAGGTATCAATCACATTCTACAATACTATATAGAGGTTCTGCCACCAACTAAATTGCTTTGTAGGAGAAATAATCTTCTTAACCTTTGTAGGTGAAAAATCTTAAGAGAAGAGATGGCAGGCCTGGATGAAGCCATTGCAAAACTGTCCAAGGAGAAGAAGGCTCTCCAAGAGGCCCACCAGCAGACCCTGGATAACCTGCAGGCAGAGGAGGACAAAGTCAACACCCTGACCAAAGTTAAAACCAAGCTAGAACAGCAAGCGGATGACGTAAGCACATTTTTAATATCCCTTTGAAAGATTTTAATATACTTTTAATTTTTACCATATTAACTTTCTTATTAGCTTGAAAGTTCTCTGCAGCAAGAAAAGAAGCTTTGAATGGATCTAGAAAGAGCAAAGAGGAAACTGGATGGTGACCTGAAATTGGCCCAAGAATCCACAATGGATATAGAAAATGACAAACAGCAACTTGATGAAAAGCTTAAAAAGTAGGAGGTTTTTAGAAAAAAACTTCTATGTGATACCATCTTTCAATTCATATGAGTATTAATACATCTTGTTCTTCTGTCTAAAGGAAAGAATTTGAAATTCGCAATTTGATAAACAAAATTGAAGATGAGCAAGCTGTAGAAATTCAACTACAGAAGAAGATCAAAGAGTTGCAGGTGAGTCAACTCACCTTTATTTTTTCTGCACACCAAGAAAACACTGAATTGAGATGAGTTTATGTTAATGTGCTTCTTTTGTTCCCAGGCCCGCATTGAGGAGCTAGAGGAAGAAACTGAGGCAGAGCAGGCCT